ACTGGCAAATCACTAATTAATATAGTATATATTATATAATGTGGGTATATGCAGAGATGATAATTTTCTGCGGTGCTATTAGGTCAATTCTGTCTGTGCTAAATTACAGATTCTACAAATAAAGTTAATAAATTCTACTCAATTTCCGTGGTATTTCTATAGATTCTGTGTAGTTTTTGCAATGTTTTATTTATTGAAATTTACTATCAAAAACATAAAAAAAAATTTTTTTTAATGATATTTTTTTTTCAAAGAAAAAAAAAAACAATTTTTTAAAGAGAAAAAATATTTCAATAATAATTTAAAAAAAAAAATTTGAAATGTAATAAAAATTTAAACACTATTGCTATCACTGTTTAACCTGTTGTTAAAATACAACATATTTAAACTCTGCAAACTTTCTTCACTTAAATTTTGTCGGTTAGTATCTAAAATTATATTATATTTTGAAAAACTTCTTTCAACTATACAGAAAGAAACTGGTAACTAAATATAATCAAATATGATTTCAGATAGACAGGGTAAAGAACTAGCCATATTAAACCAAAATTTATTTAATATGATTTCTTCAAATACTGTATCATATTTCAATCCACAATAGATAGACTATTCGTGTAATAGTTCATTAGATAGATTAAATAATTCTGATATGATTGAATAATTCTAAATATCCTTTCTTATAACATTATCAAGGTAAAAAAATTTTGGGTCAAATACTTGGCTTGCAGAAAATAAAAGTCTACTGGGATGAGAAGGAATATGGGCAGAAAATTTCTGATATGCAACGTCAAAAGCACCACAAAAAATATGATAAAATTCAACTAGTTGAAAAGCTTTTAATAAGATTAACATATCCAGATCCAAATCAAAATATTCAGCATTCATATTGGTTTCAATATAAGCAGTAAGTTGTTTGAATTAGCTTTCAACCAGAGGAAATACAGGTTTTTTCTGTTAAAAAAAATCTAATGTTTGCACAAATTTCTGTAAAAAAATATTAATAAAGTTAATATAAATTACGATAAGGCCAAGATTTCTAGGATTTGATAATAATGTAATAATTTTTAATGCATCAGTTTCGTCGATCTTGCATTCATCTTGAAAAAATGTTAGCCAATATATAATGTGATCCTTTGTATACAAAATCATCTCAAACCAAGAATTTCATCTTGTTATAACAGGAAGCAGAACTTTTTTTGGTGAGGTTATTCCATAAAATCGTAAATAATCCAAATATCGACGACGACGTACTGAGAACCTTAAAAATGAGTCTTTAATTTTAGTCATTAACATATTAATCTTAAAAAAATAGAAATAAGTATGCCACGTATCACTATATATAAAAAAAAAAAATATCGTTATAACTCTATTCTGTAGAAACTAGTAATACAATGGCAATTATTGGGACAACTCTACTGCATTACATATACATAAGTTAATTTAAAATATTATTTTACCTGATTAAGTTTAAAATATACGCACAACAAGGTATATGCACTAATTGAGGCATTACACTTCACGATAGCATTTCTTCATATATGCCACTAAGTCTAATACAAAAATACGAGAAAAGATAAATAGAATATCATATTTTGCAAGAACTTGATAAAGGGTTTGTTCCATTGTGCAATTATTAACTTGTATAAGAAAATTAACAGATACTAATTTTACATTATCTCTATATACAAATAGAGTATTAACTACGCTTCGTGAACAGCTATTTGTTGTTTTATCTATAATAATTACTACGTGCTTTTTTTTAAACAAGGATTTAAGACTTTCAAAATGATTAAGAAAGACTTGAGGGAGATATAATTGGTGTATGTAGATGCTTGTAGAATAGACCCGGCTACTTTTTTAAAAAAGAATACAAGTAATTAATTTTTTTTATAGGTATATCTGCTGCTACGAATGATTCAATTAAGTCATTTAAAAATTTTTTTTTGACTCTGAAAATGAAAAAGATGCAACAATAGTTTGTTGATGCTGCCTATTTTTATTAGAGGCTTTATTTGCTTTGTGAGTTTTATTATCAAAATAATCATCGACTGTTGATTTTTGTATCCAGTCAATAGAATAATCACAAAAATTGCAGAACAAAATTCCATTATCGACTCTAAAATCCTTCGGATTATCCTCAACTCGAGTATAAACTGTGACTTTTGATATTTTATTTTTTCTTTTTTGCATTATAGCAATTAAAGTTAAAAATTAATTATTGGGTATGATCAGACAAGATATGTAAAGACAATAATAAGATGGATACAGAAAATTTATATAAAGGAAATTATAAAGACAATTCTTATTAATTGTAGATCTTTTTATATAATTTTATATTAGTTAATATTTTAACTTTTTTATCCCTAGATCTTTCTTAAAATGATCACCTCCTGAAGGTTTATTTTCCCTTACTGTATATACAAAGACCCATGGTATCAGATAATACTAAAAACACAAAAACTAAAATAATGATATGTACTAATAACAAACAAATAATAAACAATAAATAAATAAATAGTTAAAGACACGGTATTAAATAAAAATAAAGTAAGTGCTATAAGCAATTAGGAATCTTCGTTGCAAACAGTTTTGTCAGCATTATGTAACTCATATAATAGTTGTGATATGCATAACTTTCTAAATCATTGAGTTAACCTGGACCCAAATTTATTTTTACAATAAGAACAAAAAACTTCAACAGTATATATTGAGGCTTATAATAGAAGTTTTTTTCTTATTTTTCTCATTCTTTTATTACTATTGGTAATTTTTTTTATCTCGTAAATTCGAAGCATCTTCGATATTCACTTTAGATTTCAGTACTTCACAATATATTCTTACCAATTTTAGTAGTATTATCTATTATTTGACATTTTTGGTTAGCAGCTCCGGGCCAATCATAGATCAGAATTGCAAGAACTAAGTCATGCATTTACCTCTAACCCACTTTCTGCAACAATTTTGCAGTAACTGTAACATTTTCTGCATTCATCACCCTATTCCATGATTTCTGCGGTATTCTGTGCAATACAGAAAATCATCGTCTCTGGGTATATGTACCCATGGGCAGGGATGTACATTTTTGATGTCCAAAGCCTTTTTTGGCATGTTCATGTCCAAACATCCAAACGTCCAAAGCTCATCTAAACTTTAATAATTAAAAAAATTTATTTTAAAATAATATAATTATATATTTTATTTAATTTTAAATATTTTTACTTAGAAAGTTGAAATAGGTTGTCTTAATAAAATTTTGAGCAATTTTAATATTTAAAAATGTCCAAGATGTCCAAACTTTGTCCAAAGGCTGTTCCGTGACATCCCTGCCCACAGGTACATATATATAATCCCTTTTTTTTTTTTAAAAAAAAAATTCTTAAAAAATTTCGTTTTTCTCTTTTTTTTAAAAAAAAAATTTACATTTGACTTGGAATGGAATTAAAAGATTACAAGAGCAGACGCAGAAGTAATAACAGGTTAAATGAAAACTGATCAGACGGCAATATTTTATTTTAGCATTTTCATTGAATATAGTAGCTTGGAATTGGGCTGACCAACTTTGGAAAATTTGAAGGGGTAAATTTCACTTTTTTTTGCAAGATACAATCGGATTTTTGTGGACAATTGCAAGATTTTTTGTTAATTTTAATTATTTTGATAGTAAAATGCTTTAAATCAAATTTTTACAAATAAATTTCAGTTTTCGGGTGCTTTATTTTAATTAAAAAAAAAAATTCTCTTTGGGTCTGACTTTCCACGGTTTCATAAATGTAACTGTAGTATGTGCTGTGACGCCACTAATTGATATCCCAGGAAGGATACCAATAGTTTTTAGCGATTGCTTCATTTATTGTGGCAGATTAAAATGAAATTCAGATTAAAATGAAATAATAATATAAAATCTCGAAAAATAATTTTTTTTTGGTGGGTATTTTTTAGGGCTAGGGGTTAGAATCAGGGGTTAGAATTAGAGTAAAATATATTAAACAAGTATAAGTGGGTTTTAGAAGGTTAGGAGGTTGAATAGAAAATGTAGATTTCATTTTAAATTATGATCTGCGACAATTACTTCGCCGACAGCTCATTTCACCGACACGTTTTTTTAAGAATTGCACTAACCTTAATTCTAATTCTAAACTAACCCTAACGACAATGACTGGAATTACTTTTCGGTGAAATGACTTGGTGAAATAAACTATCTGTGAAATAAACTGTCAGTAAACTAAGTTGTGTCTTAAAAAAGAAGGAATATTGGAATTATGGAATCGGAGAAATAGCATTTTGGGAAGGTGACTTCGGGGAAAGTGAGCAACAATGCATTTAAGAATGCTTGAGACACGAAGAAATTCAGTTAGTACTAAAATAATTATAATTAATTGGGTGTATTAATGTAAAAACGGTAATAGATTTTTGGGTATTTCTCTCGATATAGTGAAGATTTCATATTTAATTATTACCTTCACTATATCGAGAGATTTCAATATAGTGATCTCTCAATATAGTGAAGAAATTTTTATAGCCCGAGGTCTTCACTATAACGAGAGTGACTTGTATGACTATGTACTTCAAATATAAATATTCGATCGATAGTTTTCGTGTTTATCCATCAATATTGGCCCTAATGTCCAGATCATTTACAATAAACTAAAATGAATAAAATAAACCCTATTTATAACAAAATAATACTGTAAAAATCGTATATAAGATCCATTTGATTCATCCATTTGATTCATCATGAATTATATCCACATACTGTACGAACAAGATCTCTATTAATTAAATACGGCTTTTTTCAATAATCTAGCTTCTTATTATAAATGCAAAGAGTATATGCATTTTAAAATTTTTCCTGTTACAATATAAACGTTCGGCTGTGTAATTATACCCGAGCCTACTATAGGTTTTAAAATCGGTGGAATGTTACAGACCCAAGTCTTGTATATGATCTTTTACGGTACTATCCGGTAAAAGGAATTATTTACCAAAAGATAATAAAGCAATCAATTAAAATTCCAACATAAATATGCCTGTCCAGTCTTTTTATTAATTGTCGTAACCTTAATTTCCACAGTACCGAATGTCAGAATTAATTCCACTTCCACCACTCGTTTTTTCAGAGTAAGACCCATTGATTTTTTTTGTTCTCGTGAATCTGATAAAACAACTGTTATGCTTCCCAACCTTTTCATTCCAACCTCGTCGCAATACTTCGCGTTATTATCCGGCGTAATGAATAGATTAAGAGACACATCGGTTTGATTCTGATCTGCTGCGTATGTATAGTAGAATTTTTGATCGACGGCAACTTCTGAAATCGGAATACACGGCCGAAAGGTGTACGACGTTGTGGTGGATCATGCTTTTCCCATTTTTCGTTTACCTCTACGCCGTAACAGTACGTATTTTAAAGTTCGAGTTTGGACAATATTTATATTTAGACCAGGGTTGTCACATTTATGTTTTTTCTATTGGCTTATAATTCTATTCACTTTTTTTATTTTTCTATTGTAAATTTTAAGTATTAAATTTTACTAATTAAGTATAAAAATATTTTAAATTTATTACTTTACTAATGCTCTAACAATATATGTTTAAATAATTGCAAATTATTAATAAA